TTGTGTGTGTGTGTGTGTGTGTGTGTGTGTGTGTGTGTGTGTGTGTGTGTGTGTGTGTGTGTGTGTGTGTGTGTGTGTGTGTGTGTGTGTAGCCAGAGAGGATCGACCCCAGCGCGTCCCGGCAGGGCTACGATGTGCGCTCTGATGTGTGGAGCCTGGGGATCACTCTGGTAAGACAACAGCGTTCCAGCTCCTGTAGTCTTGTCTGTGATGGCAAAGCACGTTGAAACAGAACTGCTGCAGTGTGTGTTTGCTTTCAGTACGAGCTGGCCACGGGAAGGTTCCCCTACCCCAAGTGGAACAGTGTGTTCGATCAGCTGACACAGGTGGTGAAAGGGGAGCCCCCCCAGCTCAGCAGCTCAGAGGACAGGCAGTTCTCCCCTAAGTTCATCAACTTTGTTAACCTCAGGTGAGCAGTCAGTGTAGTGGTTCAGGCTCATCTGATGTGTGTGAAATACAATACTTTGAAACTGCTGACAGTCAAATAATGTGGGCCTAGTTTGTCCAGCACTTTAAACCACACGCTCTTTAGGAGGAACACCTAGTGTATGATTGACTGTGTTCTCTCTCTGTGCAGCCTCACAAAGGATGAATCCAAACGGCCGAAGTACAAGGAGCTTCTGGTGAGATCTTTACATTTCAATTCAGTCATTTCTAAGTTCCATGAGCACATGTTATGGAGCACTACATTCTCTGATTGTATTAACTACTAAAACTACTTCAAGGCCAGAGCATTTTAGGAAGTGAATTAATTCTAAAATAACTTAATTATGAAGATGTCTATACCAGTGGTTCTCATCTCATTATGCATATGTTTATATGACGGGTCAAAAACCCATATATGCTCATATTTCTTTTTCTTTTCATTCCTGCGCCCCAAAATAAATAAATATACCAATTTTAGGAAAAGTAAGGAAGTTTGAGCAGTGTGGGTTTTATATTAACAGTTACACATATTTCAAAACGCAAAGTGTAATAACTGCCGGTGCCTCCCTGTCAGAATGACAAAGGTCCTCAGTGAAGCTCAAGCCCATGTTTCTCACTAAATTGTAAGTAGAACTTATTAAAAAGATCAGTTCAATGCAGCTAATGTCGTCTTAGTGTTATTGCATGATGTTAAAATTGGTTTGCCATGAATTTAAATTTGAAATGTAGCATGTTAAAGGTGGGGTAGGTAAGTTTGAGAAACCGGCTCGAGATACACTTTTTGTTATATTCCATGGAATGCTCTTAAACTTACCTACCCCACCTTTAACATGCTACATTTCAAATTTAAATTCATNAGTTAAAGTAAGAATGTGCATCTCAAATGTAATTAAATAAAGATATTTTTATAATCATAGGAAGTTAAACTAAGAACTTGCAGTAAAAAGATAAAATGTGTATATTTACATAATAAGTTATTTTAATATTATTTAAAGGTGGGGTAGATAATTTTGGAGAAACCAGCTCGAGTCCCCTAGAATTTGAAAATACACAGCCGTAAAAAAATCTGCCACTTCCTTACAGAGCCCCTCCTCCAACACACACGAACGCGCACGTGACCAATGAGGGCAAGAGATAAGTTTGTGCACAGATGGAAGGCTGACAGGCAGGTAGGCCATCCAGTTATTTTAGCCGGGCCGGCTCAGATGATTGGTCGTGCTTTTTACAGTGCTACGGCTTCGACAGATGACGTTTTTTTAACCGATTTTTTGTCAAAGCACTTCAGATATTCATTGCTATCGGGATGTTAAGAGCATTCCATGGAATATAACAAAAAGTATATCTCGAGCCGGTTTCTCAAACCTACCTACCCCACCTTTAATATCCATCCATCCATCCATCTTCTCCCGCTTATCCGTGGTCGGGTCGCGGAGGTAGCAGTTCCAGCAGAGAGCCCCAAACTTTCTTTTCCCTGGCCACATCAACCACCTCTGACTGGGGGATCCCAAGGCGCTCCCAGGCCAGCGAAGAGATATA